GAACTTAACTTGGCCGCCCCTACTTGTGTCTAGTTGTACAAGATGGGAGTGTAATCAGGTACAGTTGTGAAAAAGAGTAATCGCAGTGCAAGAAATGTTAGGCAAAAGAGAATTGTGTGTGCATAAGAAAAGGAGAAAGGGAGGAATGATGGGAACACTGAGCCTCGGGGTGGCTCTGGGGGATCGGACTGTCACTTTGGTGGGTGTGTATGAAAACTGTGGGAATGGGGGAGGCAGTTACACCTTGTGTAAAATTAATATGGCTAATATAATGTTATGGAAGTTAAACTATATGGAAGGAATGTGCATTTTCCCAGGATGTGTGCAGTGTATATAGGAGAAGGGGTAAAAGAAATGCAAATAAAACATGGTACTTAAATAAAACCCTGCTAGGGCTCCAAAAGGAGCCACAATAGGTTGTGCTTTCTTTTTCAGATCTGTGATTTGGAGCAGGAGATGAAAGTGGAAAGTAATCAGAACTCTGGTGTAAGTAAAATGTTTCCCTTTTAATGAGCTGCTAACAGCTTTGGATCCAAAAGCAAGCTAGTAAGCCTCTGTGTAAATGCAAATTACCTAGCTGATGGGCACAAAGGAGCTGCAGATAATGAATACATCGGGTCAGCAAACGAGTTACTAGAAGACTCAGATTATGGCCCTCCAGGAAATGGAGGTGAAAAAACAAGTCAAGCCTGAAAATAAGGGGAACAGGTTAACCTTAAGGTGTGTGTACAGTGCTAAAATCTGAAGCTGTGTCTCAGCTATTACCTGAGAAACTTAATGCTTGGTACAGCAGAGAAACTATTGCAAACTTGGTGTGTTGTACAGGAGGGGAAACTGAGGTACACCACCTCATGAATTTCATAAGTGACCCGTGAGTGGGATAATTCATTACCCTGACTATAGAACAAAATAAGGACAGCCTTGAGGTAATTCTTCTGTTTTTCCTGCAATTAGAAGGAAATTTGTAAAAGAAAGTGGTATTATTATTAAAGCAATAATCTGTCCCCACCGGGGGGTGGAAGTTGTTTCTTTTGTTTTTCAGACACTCTACAAGCAAGCTGGCGCCAGCAGGAAAAATAACCCAGAATACCATGGATCTGTGTTTTGTGTTTGTCTGTGGTGTGTGTCTTGTTGCTAGCATTGTTGTTTTAATGAACAAAAAACTTCATGACATGGGTGGGGGATGGCTTCAAAAGGCTGACCTTGGGGGTGGGGAGGGAGATGTGTATGGGAATACAAAATGCTCAACTAGGAGGCCAGCACCTGTGTAATAGCTACTGTGGTACCTGGAAATGGAATGGTAACTAAGGTGGTCCCCACAAGCCCTATGGAAATAATGAGAAGGGCAGGAGCTCACTGGGAATCAATGGAGGGGTGTGTAAAATAGTGTAAATCAACAGAAGATGTTGGGATGTGCCCCTCTCCTATGACTATGGAGGAGCAGGATCAATGGCCTATGCAAGGGGTGGACAATTGGGCGTACTGTGTATAAGGTGTTTTGCTGGGAATGTACATACTACTGGGGGCACAATTACACTGGCCCATAACTACACACATAGAATATCAGGGTTGGAAGGGACCTCAGGAGGTCATCTAGTCCAACCCCCTGCTATCTATGCTGCTATCTGGACTTTGGTGCACAAATGGATCTGTGAATCTTATTGCTGTGAATAATCAAACCAGGGCATACTGCCTGATTCCATACCAAGTGGTCAAGCTGGTTTGAACAATATCCCATTTCTCTGTGAACCTTCAATGGACTTATGATATGGACAAAAGCACACAAAACCTGTAGGAGAAGCTTGTTGCAACTGGACACAAGATCATGACCCTGTCGAAGGAGGGGAGGCAGTGTTGTGGTGGCTCGGATGTTGGATCATGCTGCAGTGGTCAGGACTCAGTGTTGTTGTGGATTTTGTATTGTTAACTGTACTTGTGTTATGTTGCATATGGAGATATGCTATAAGTACTGTAATAAGCCCTCCAAACCCTACAGTGTACTAGGCAACCCAGACCCAACCTTCTCAGGCCCACTATAATGGGAAGTCTGAAACACTAATTGGAATAGGTTTCAGAGGAACAGCCGTGTTAGTCTGTATTCGCAAAAAGAAAAGGAGTACTTGTGGCACCTTAGAGACTAACCAATTTATTTAGTCTCTAAGGTGCCACAAGTACTCCTTTTCTAATTGGAATAGGTATGCCCGTACGAGAGAAGGTGCAGGGTACTATACTACACAAGGGGCAGTGGGACAAATGGAATATTGATACCTTCCACCTTGATGCCTGGCCCTATCAGGAAATGTGTCGCCATATGTGCTATAAGAAAAGGAGTACTTGTAGCACCTTAGAGACTAACCAATTTATTTGAGCATGAGCTTTCATGAGCTACAGCTCACTTCATCAGATGTATACCGTGGAAACTGCAGCAGACTTTATATATACACAGAGAATATGAAACAATACCTCCTCCCACCCCACTGTCGCCATATGTCCTATGCTTTTCCAGGGATACCTGGGCAGGAGGATCCCAAAAGAAAAAAAAGGGGTGGAGTGTTAGGATATAGATATTCAGGCCTAGACTTTAAGAATTTAGATGTATTCTTATCACTTGGCTAGTTCTAGAGGTATAAAAGAATCAAAATCACTGTCTGCCAGTGTAAGGGCCTTCTCTTACTGTGACAGTCTGAGGCCCTGTTCTTAGGCTAAGGCCTTTGGCAAAGCAGCAGTGGCAGCCATAAACTGGGAAGTGATCAGTCACATCCTCACATTCCAACCTAGTCACATTGAAATAAGGTGCAATTGGGCTGTTAGGAATACAATCCTGTCCTGATAATGCCGATCACCTCCAGGGAAAGGGAAGTGCCTAGAAGATGTAAAAGGAAACTTAGTTTGATAGCATCCTGTCTGGCAAGAACTCACTTATCAATAGCTGGGAGGTGAAATCCTCACTTCTGTATTGTTTTGTCATTATAGTTCCCACTTTGCTATTGTTTTTCTGCATAATCTGTCTGGTTCTGTGATTGTTCCTGTCTGCTGTATAATTAATTTTGCTGGGTGTAAACTAATTAAGGTGGTGGGATAAAATTGGTTACATAATCATGTTACAATATGTTAGGATTGGTTAGTTAAATTTCAGTAAAATGTTTGGTTAAGGTATAGCTAAGCAGAACTCAAGTTTTACTATATAGTCTGCAGTCAATCAGGGAGTGAGTATGTGTGTGGGGAGAATGGGAACAGGGAATGGGGGTGGGGAAATTGGAGTCATGTTTTGCTAAGTGGGGGAATGGGAACAGGGACAGAGATAAGGCTCTGTGGTGTCAGAGCAGGGAAGGGGGACACTAAGGAAGGAAACTGGAATCATGCTTGCTTGACGTTCACCCCAATAAACATCAAATTGTTTGCACCTTTGGACTTCTTGCATGAAGAGAGAGCAACAATACCTGAAGGACCAGGGAAGTAAGTGGGTGAAGGAATAAGCCCCCTAATACTGGGGTACTTCAATGACCACACCATTTTCCCAGTGGCTGGTGTGGGGGGACCTGGGCCTACCCTCCACTCCAGGTCCCAGCCCAGGGACCTTATAGATAGCAGCCATCTACAATGTTCCTTTAAGCTTTAAATATACTGCACTGCTTCTACAACTACCTGGGCCACTTCCCCACAACCCTGTGCCATCTTCACCCTTACCTCAGGGCCTTGTCCTGATGGAATCCCCACAACCAGGTCAGGGCTCCTTCTTGCTCTCCCTGGCTTCTGGCAGCATTACCTTAGCTAAGGTCCTGCAGGTATCTCAGCTATCCACACTCCTCCAGCTCTAGTAAGGCACTGAACTCACTCTGGCCCTGCAGCTCTTCTTATACTAGTCTGCTGGGCCCTGACTGGCTGCATCCCACACAGCCATTGTAGGCAGCTCAGAGGGCCTCTCTACTGCCCTTTTCTGGGGCAGGGTGTGGCAGGGCCAAAAGGCCTCCAGCAGGGGGCCTCACACTAGTCCATCCCGTCACAAGGACAAAACCAAATTCAAATGTCATAGAATTTTCTGTGGGACAGACATTTTGTTTGTTCAACCAGCTCTAATGCAAAAACCTGCAGGCACAATCTGAGAGATACAAACCAGTTTGAAAACATGACCCACACTCTGTGGCTAAGACAGCGGTTAAAAAATTCAGGGGGTCTCAGAGAGAAGACATCAAACTGAAGGGTCAAAACTATGAAAAGGATTGGAGTAAAAAATCCTAGTGAATCTAACCATTGGAACAGACTACCAAGGGCTGTGGTAAATTCTCCATCTATATTAGGGATGTTTCATGTATATTAAATTAAGATTGGATGTCTTCTTAAAAGATACACTCATGGTCAACTAGGCTCAATGTGGGAAACACTGAGTGAGGTTTTCTGGCCTGGGCTATGCAGGAGGTTGGATTAGATCAGAATGTTCCTTTCTGGCCTTAAAACCTCTGAAATCCAGGAATGCATTTCATTTTGAGATGGGCCCTGGATCTACACAGCCCCAGACTTGCTGGGTATCAGTAGCCAGGTCTGAATTTTGCAGTCTGAACTTTTCTCCCATTTCATGGGAAAAAATGGGGTCCTGCAAGACAGGAAAGGTAGGGTCTGCCTCCAGATCTGTCACTAACTCATTCTTGTGACCTTTGGGTCACTCTACCTGGCCGAGTATCTCACTTACTCCATCAGTAACAGGAGGATTCTGATGTAAAGAGCTTTGAGATTTCTGGGCAAAAAGCGCGCATTGCTGTTAAAACAGTCAGCTTTATTCAAACTGGCTGTTTCAGGAAGAAACAACGGTTGCACTGAACTGTACGGACACTTGTTGCTCATAAATAGTGTTCCATCTTGGGGCTGTTTTACTCAAACACCATATATAAAATAGCCTTGGGGAAATTGTGAAGTGCTGCTGAATTACTGAAAACTGATGGGCTCTAGGACCCAGTGGAGGAACGTCACACGAGCTGTCCTCAAACCTCTCCAAACTTTTCACAGCCTGTTGCTTATTCATTGAGATCAGGAGGAGTAAATCCATCCAGCCCAGAGAGAGAGAGAGAGAGGAACATCCCTGCTCGGAACATAGCAGCAATGTGAAAACCATTCACGGAGAAGCCCTGCAAACTTTACTGAAGCCTTGAGACCAAAAGCGGCTCTTTTCCTCCTTTCATCTCCCAAGTCAATTCCACATATGTTGGCCTGGCCATGCAGCCTGCGGGAGAGCTGTGCAGTTTAGAACAGGCCAGGAATGGACAGAGTTAGAGCTGTTCACATCAGGAAGCAGCGTAGAGGCTCTGGAGAGAGGAACAGCTGGCAGAGGCCATCCAGGCTGCCTCTTTGGTTTGGTTTTGCAAATACTAGCCATTAAATCATCCGCTCCTCTTTGGTCACAATGACGGCCTGTGGCTTGTGCGACTGGTGGGCTGTGATGGGCTGCGGGATCTTTCTGCTGGTCCATGGGCAGCAGCCACAGAGCAGCAACACAGACGGCAATCGGTGGAGGCAGATGATCCAGTGGGAGAACAATGGCAGGGTGTACAGCCTCTTGAATACAGGGTCTGAGTACGTGCCCGCCGGCCAGGAGCCGGCGGATGGCAGCACCAGGGTCCTGCTAGCTGACACCCCCAGGAGTCAAAGCAGAAGGGGGCAGGGGAACCTCAGGAGGCAAGCACCCACCTTGCCAGTCAGGGTGGGCTCCGACACCATCCGGGGCCAGACACGGCACCCATTCGGCTTTGGGCAAGTCCCAGAGAACTGGCGGGAAGGTCCTGTCGGAGACAGCACCAGCTCCCAGAGGATCAGGCCATCCACCAGCCGGCAACGACAGACCAGCTCCTCCGCTGCCACCGTCGCGGCCTCTTCTTCATTCTCACACTCCTCCTTTGGGCAGCCCTCCTACTCACAGTTCCCCTTCCCCCAGCCCCCTTTTGGGAACCAGCATGAGCCCTACGATGCCCAGGTGTCTCGGGGCTATGACGAAGGCTACCTGTACTACCGCAGCACAGGAAACGGAGGGGGCGCTGTTGCATCAGCTGCTGCTGGTGTCGGTGTCCTATACCCCTTCCAGTCCAGGGCACGGTATGAGGAATATGGGGAGGACCAGAATCCCTACCGAGCCCAAGGCTACTATCCTGCTCCAGAGAGGCCCTATGTCGCAGTGCCCCCCCAGCCTCAGCCTGCTGATGGCCTGGATAGGAGGTACTCCCACAGCTTGTATCATGACACTAGCGCCACTGCGGAGCAAGGCTTCCAAGATCCTTATTCAGCAAGTCGAAACCAGCAGCCAATGGGACAAGGGGTCCCCACTATGGACAATTTACAGCTCAGCCCGGGGTCCCCTTTGGGGGCCAGCCCTGGGTATGGAACTGACCCACGATTGGGGCGATACCCCCCTTACGGTAACATGCCACTGGAGCCCTATGTCCCACCCCACAACGTGGAACCCCAGCCACCTTTCCGGAACTTGGATCCCTATGGGGCTCCGCGACCTGAACCCTACCTCCCTGTGAGGAGCCCGGAAGCCCCACAAGTGATATCCGACAACCAAGCCCGGGTCAGCGTGGGCAGTGTTTACAGACCTCCTCAGAACGGACGGGGTGAGTCCTTGGCCCTGGGAGCTATGGGTGTGTGGATGGGGAGGCTGGAGTGCTGCACAGTACCTGAGTTAGACACACACTATGGCCTGTTTACCCACGGCCTTTTCAGGGACACGCCAGAAGGCAGAGCCCTTTGGGAGCAGAGACTCCCCTACACCTGCGTCAACTCCCTTCTGTTCCCTGAATCACAAAGCAGCCCAGTTGCTCACAGCGGCCCAAGGCATCTCCTGCAGTTCAGCTGCCTGAGTAATGAGGATGGGACCACAGGGTCTGAGCAGAGCCAGATGATGGACAGAGGGAGGCATTCCTGTGTATTCAGGTAGTGGGTGGGGACATATGTGGGGAAGGTGCCATTATACACTAGGTTGATTGACACCCTGTTAACATAGGCGACAAATTTTCCCAGTGCCAGTGGGTGCTCGACCCCCACCCTCACCCCAGCCCCGCCCCGACTCCACCCTGCCCCGCCTCCTCCCGCCCCTGCCCCACCCCCATTCCGACCCCTTCCCCAAAGTCCCCACCCCAACTCTGCCCCCTCCCTGCCCCTATTGGATTCCTTCCCCAAATTCCGGCCCCAGCCCCGCCTCTTCCCCGAGCGTGCTGCGTTCCCCCTCCTCCCCTCTCCCTCCCAGTGCTTGCTGCCGTGAAACAGCTGTTTTGTGGCAGCAAGCACTGAGAGCTAGGGAGGAGGCGGAGGTGAGCTGGGGTGAGGGGGGGCAGGGCGGGGAGTCTGCACCCACCAATTTTTCCCCAGCCCCAGAGCACCCATGGAGTTGGCACCTATGCCTGTTAACACCTTATATAGATCAGGGCGAACTGGGCGGCGAACCTGAGATTGGGCCCAAGCGTCACTGCATCACGGGGGCTGAGCTGTGCTGTGCTCCTGGGGTCCAGCAGCACTGCATCGTGGGGGTGATGTGCACTGTGCTCCTTGGCTCAGAAGCACTGCATCGTGAGACATCATTTGCAGTGCACTCCAGCTACGAACCGATTTGTAATTATGTCCCGTTTCTTGCCTGTATTCTGCACTGTGGACTGCTCTGCAGTTGTACAGGAGATAGGATACAGGCTAGGTTGCACAGTTTAGCACTGCATTGTGCAGGAGGGTCTGGTGTGATGAGCATCATCAAGGTCAGAACAGTGACACTCAGTGGTTTCACATGATTTTGACCCCAAAATAGGCCAGTGTTATAGCTTTTGGCTGAGTTTGCTTTGCATATTTTTGTTTTGAGTTGGAACTCAAAACAAAGGCTAGCGTGTGTGACAGGAAACCTGTGGAATTTAACTCCCCTCCCCCCCAAAAAAATGATTTGGATAAACCCATGGAAACCCCGGCTCACCAACCCCTCTGACCCCTGTGACTCCTTTAGCCTGGCCAGCTCCCTAGTGGTTACTGAGATAAGCACGTCCAGAATGGGCTGGCTGATACACAAGAACAAAGACACCTCTCCAGGCTCCACGCTCAGTTCCCCTGGGGAGCCCTACATGCTGGTGTAGGCTGGATGAGTATGATGGCTCTGTGTGTGCTGCTGCTGCTCAGCACAAGGCTACAGGTTCCATGCTGGCAGTGCAGCAAGATGTGGCTGGGATGTCTCAGTGCAGACGATCTAGGAGTTTGGTAATGGGCTACAGAAACCTAGGACACCTGTTTGGGGCCAGCTATGGATGGTAGAGATCAAGAACTGTAGCCATCAGTAGTGGTTTGGGGGACTATATGTAATTAATTGGTGGGTCTCAGTCCAGTTCCTTCATGAAAACTGGTCTCACAATTGGCATTAATTGGCCCTCTCATTGGCATTCTCAGCAGAGAGGCCAAAGATTATATGGAGTCCTCTGGACAAGGGCTGAGGATCAGGTGTCCACACTAAGATCAATCGATCTGTCAAGTCAGCTGCCATCAGTGCCGTTGATCACGAGGTGTTGCTGGTTCATTTGGAAGCTCTAGCAGGAGAGGAGGGGGCTGCTCTTGGTGTCTGTTCTTTCCTTGCTGAGCACTCCCCAAGGGGGATTTGGGTGACTGTTTGAACTCCCACTGGAGGCCCACAGGGCTTCATTTTCACTCCTGTACTCCGTGATCTACTCTGGCTTCCTGTTGGCCTCCCTCGGTGGCATTGGTGGTGCTGTAAAACCCTAGATGGCCTGGGACCTGTCTGTCTGAATCCCCTTTCTCTGTGTGTCAGAGCCCCAGCTGCAGTAAACAGAGGGGCTCAACTGGACCCTGTACAAGGGAAGGAGCTGCTGGCAGAGTGTTCTCTGGGGAAGGGCCCTCGACTTTGTAACATCTCCACCACTTGATCCAAAACAGCCCATTGACCTTCAGGGCATGCTGCTGACCCGTCCAATTACCCAGGCCTTGGGGGAGTGAGGGGCTGGTGTTGCTTGGGTTTGGGGTTATTTCTGGTTGGCTGTTTTCTGGTCTGGAGCAGAAGAGAAACTGCTGTTTTTATCTTCCATGCAGCTGTGTTTTAGTTCCTGGGAAAAGTGCTTACTGTCTGGCTTGGGTGTTTTTTTAATATAGATCATCGGTCAAAAGAAATAGTAATAATAGTTATTATTTATCTTAGTGTAGGATCCAAAGGCCGCAGTTGAGATCCCAGCCCCACTGAGCTAGGTCCTGTATGGACACAGAGACAGTCCATGCCCAAAAGTCTAGGAGGAAAAGAAAAATAATTCACCTGAGGTCACATAGCAGCTCAGTGGTGGAACCCGGGATAAAACTCTGATGTCTCCGGACTAGCAGTCCAGCTGCTCTCTCCTCTTTCTCCCCTATAACTGGCCCTTTCAGGTCAGTTAGCCAAGAGCCAAGGCTGTCCCTGTGCTTTGATTATAAACAGAGACCTCTAGTCCACAGGGCAGTCATTGAGGCAGGTTTCTTAATTGGTAAAATCACCTTTAAAATAGAATCAAATGTTAATTGCCATTTCTAATCTCTTTAAACATTCAGTCAACCTGCCCAAGTCGCAGCTCATGGCCTGGAAGGAATTTACGAAATTCCAAGCCCATAACTGAGCTGGTTACATCGCCTGTTAGTGAAGCAGCCAGATCATTAGATTGTGTGAGCTGAGTTTTGTGCACTGTATGGACATCCTCTCTTCCTCCTGCCACTCACACAACAAAAGCATCTTAAAAGGCAACTGACAAGACTCGGTGATCCCGTCCCTACCACACTTTGGCACTTGTTCATGCCAAAACCAAACACCATTCAACTTTCAGCTGTTATTTTCAGTCCTTGTTGATTGCTAAGATATTTAAGTGTAAACTGAACCTTTCCTCTTTGCAATCAACTCCTTAATGACTCACTCCATCATCAGGAAATCACAGTCCCATGCTAGCAATACCACAATAGCATCCACTTTAGTATGGCACTCTAGCTAGCAATGCTCAAATACAACTCATAATTAATACTCTTTGGTACTTATAGAAGAGTGTTTTTCATCCAGAGATCTCACAGCAGCTCACTTTAACCAAGGTGTTTACATTTTATTAGCCCCATCCTACAGACATGGAAATTGAGTCATAGGGAGGCAAAGTGATTGGCTAGAATCACAAAGTAAGTAGGAGCTTATCTAAATAGTTTTACCTGTGAAGTGAAAGAAGGTAGGGTGACAAGTGCTGATCAGTTGTGTAGTCAATGGCTTGACCATGATTTGGTTCATTATGAAGTATATACAAAGACCAAATAACCAGTGTCAGTAAGGTTTATTAATATGGTGTGAGAAAAAGGTTCTGTCTATATAATACCAGTCTCCAAGCTGCCCCATGCAGTGATGTTACAGTCACTTAACACAGAAGGTGTGCTCCCCAAGTTACATGTTTCAGCTGGTATTATTTATATAATTTTACAAGTTACACATAGAATCATAGAATCATAGAACTGGAAAGGACCTCGAGAGGTCATCTAGTCCGGTCCCCTGCACTCATGGCTGGACTAAGTATTATCTAGACCATTCCTGACAGGTGTTTGTCTAACCTGCTCTTAAAAGTCTCCAATGATGGCGATTCCACAACCTCCCTAGGCAATTTATTCCAGTGCTTAAGCACCCTGACAGTTAGGAATTTTTTCCTAATGTCCAACCTAATCCTCCCTTGCTGCAATTTAAGCCCATTGCTTCTTGTCCTATCCTCAGAGGTTAAGAAAAAAAATTCTTCTCCCTCCTCCTTATAACAATCTTTTATGTACTTGAAAACAATTATCATGTCCTCTCTCAGTCTTCTCTTTTCCAGACTAAACAAACCCAGTTTTTTCAATCTTCCCTCATAGGTCATGTTTTTTAGACCTTTAATCATTTTTGTTGCTCTTCTCTGGACTTTCTCCGATTTGTCCACATCTTTCCTGAAATGTGGCACCCAGAACTGGACACAATATTCCAGTTGAGGCATAATCAGCATGGAGTAAAGCAGAAGAATTACTTCTCGTGTCTTGCTTACAACACTCCTGTAAAACATCCCAGAATGATGTTCGCTTTTTTTGCAAGAGTGTTACACTGTTGACTCATATTTAGCTTATGACCCCCAGATCTCTTTCCGCAGTACTCCTTCCTACGCAGTCATTTCCCATTTTGTATGGGTGCAACTAATTGTTCCTTCCTAAGTGAAGTACTTTGCATTTGTCCTTATTGAATTTCATCCTATTTACTTCAGACCATCTCTTTACGCATCACTAAAATCCAACCCATCAGTTGTCCCAGTTCCCTAATTGGTTCTTCTGTTCCTTCCTTATCTTTGTTGTGAATACTAGCATTCCAGGTACCGGTCCATGAAGGAACTTCCTAAGTGTACTAAGATATAAAACGAATGTCTCTTGATTTTGACAAGTTTCCTATCTGCTTATGCCATATGTTTACTTCAGCAAATACAAGCAGTTATGGGATACTTAGTATACTTATAAGTAAACAAGCTTATGGTATGGGTCAGTTTAGGTTATATCACTGTGCTTAATGTTACTAGTGCTTAATGGATACTAATATATATGGTGTGGATAATAGATGTTATTAATATGA